ATATTACCTTATAAGGAGCTGAGCCCCCCTAAAATGAAAACCCTAAAATCGCCCCTGCTTGGTATACAACTACTGCGACAGTTGGGTTTAGGGTTGGGGTGGGGTAGACGATAATTAATACAAATAATAGGAAATTTAATAACTAGTATAAATCATTTTCGTTAACCTCCGGCCGCAACCATATCTGATTTAGCAACAACCTATTTTTTAAATGTATCTTAAAGGTACAAAAGTGAACCCTTAAGGTACTAATGTCCACCTACTGAGGTAAAGTTGGTTTTATATTCACATATTCAGACTAATCTAATTTTTTTTTTTTTAAATATTACATGCAAATGCTAAACAGGAAAGTCATACAAGCAGCAAATGACTATCAAATGACATCATTGTTCAGTCAATTAAATGGTGCAAATGTTGTTTTAATTCATACATGCGATTTCAGATATTCAAAGTAGCGATGTAAACAACATAAAGACCATTAAAATTATCAAATGTGAGCATATAAAACTAACTTTACCTCAGCTGTCCAACTCTATGATACAAATATGTACCTTTTGAGAAGGTACCGCTTCAGTGACTTGTTTACCTGTATATTTTTGAGTTTGTGCTTCATAATGTTTCCCACAGAGTTTACAGTTCAAAGCCTGAAAGAACACTGTTGTCTGTATCGAATTCGATTATAGAACGCGCGTTCTAAACATTCCATTGTCGGCTCCTGAAATCAGCGTCACAGCATCACTGAACTCATAAGTAAACAGAAGTTCTCTCACTCACCGCCGTTCTCCTTCAGGTGTGTTTTGGACAGCCTCTCTGTGAATTTCCTCGCGAGCGCTTTAACACTCTGTGCGGCGCTCGACCTGCGTCCCAGATCTTCATCCTTCACTCTGATGTTTCCCACGTACCACATGATCCACAGGGCCAGGCTGGCGAACAGCACCAACGCGCCGGTGTAGATCAGGAAATCCCCGTAAAACACGCCATTGTGCCGCACGTCGCCGAAAATGCCGACGAACAACAGAATCACGCCAATGACGTCGAAAATCAAAGCCATGATAAATAACGACAGACAGCTGCCGATGCACCTCAGCGGCACCATCATCACCTTCAGTAGGAGAGATGCTGCTGCTCGCGTCTGTAGCGGAAAAACTGCTGAGGACAGGTGATACACACCTGGAGCACGCACTGAGGGAACGCCCTCATGACGTCAGGCCGGCGTACAGGGGGGAGGGTCTTCAGTGTTTTGGGTTTCAGCAGTGACATTTACATTACACTGAACTCAACTAAACTGAACTTCCACTGTGAAAACTGGACTGAGCAGTTTCAGTTTACTAGAACTTTACTGAATAAAAGATTCATTGGATTTTTCATTTTTACAATGAGGTTTTAAATGGGCTTCAAATCAAGAGTTTTACTCTATACGTCTCCCTTTTGGCTCTTAAAGTCATTGTGGTTAAGTAGCAAATACATTTAATTAAAATGAATAATTAAATAAATAATTGTCCACTCAACTGAGTGGAAAAAGGCCACTCAGTTGAAGACACAATTATTAGCCCTCATATGAATTATTTATTCAACTATTACAATCAACACACTTAATAGCCATCCTTAGCATTACTTTATACATTTATTTATGTATGTATGTATGTATGTATGTATGTATGTATGTATGTATGTATGTATGTATGTATGTATGTATGTATGCATGCATTTATTTATTTATTTATTTATTTATTTGTTTATTTATTTATTTATTTTATTTCCAGTGGACATGGGGTGTTTCTTCAGTGTTTTGGCTTTCAGCAGTGACATTTGCATTACACTGAAAACTGGACTGAGCAGTTTCAATGTACCAAAACTTCATTGAAAAAAGATGCATTGGATTTACACAATTATTTATTTATTTATTGAACAATGATGCCAAAATGGCTTTAAATCGAGAGTTTTTACTGTATACATCTCTCTTTGGCTCTTTACTTAAAGCCTGTACAGCAAATACATTAAATAATTATGAAAAATGCCACTTTTACTAGCCCTCCTAATTTCAGCACATTTTAAGCATTTTAATTTCAATAACTAAACTGGGTTTTTGCCTTTGCCATGATGGCAATGGATAATATTGTATTAGTTATTATGCAAGATACTCAGTAAAATACAGTTTAAAGCTAATAATAGTACTGACTAATAATATTGACCTTAGCATTTATTTTATTTTTATTTCTTCGGTGGACGGGGGTGTTTCTTCAGTGTTTTGGCTTTCAGCAGTAACATTTACATTACACTGAAAACTGGACTGAGCAGTTTCAGTTTACTAGAACTTCACTGAAAAAAGATTCATTGAATTTACACATTTTTACAACAAGGTTTTAAATGGGCTTCAAATCAAGTTTTTACTATACATCTGCCTTTTGGCTCTTTATTTGAAGTCATTGTGGTTGAGTAGCAAATACATTTAATTAATATGAAAAAAGACTACAGTTGAAGACCATTAGCACTCCTATGAATTTCAACAATTTTCAACACATTGTATTCATAGTTTATTCATAGTTATTATACAAGATAATAGTATTCAGTAAAGTGCGATTTAAAGCTAATAATACTGGCTAATAATATTGACCTTACTATTTATTTATTTATTTATTTGTTTATTTGTTTGTTTGTTTTTTAATGCAGCAACATTTATTTATTATTCATTTTTTAGTGCAGCAACATTTATTTATTTATTTTTAATGCAGCAACATTTATTTATTTATTTTTAATGCAGTGACATTTATTTATTCATTTTTAATGCAGCAACATTTTTTTATTTATTTTTTCATTTTGAATGCAGCAACATTTATTTATTTGTTTACTTATTATTATTTAATGCAGCAACATTTATTTATTTTTAATGCAGCATCATTTATTTATTAATTTATTTTTAATGCAGCAACATTTATTTATTTATTCATTTTTAGTGCAGCAACATTTATTTATTTATTTTTAAACCAGCAACATTTATTTATTTATTTATTTATTTTTAATGCAGCAACATTTATTTATTTACTTACTTATTAATTTTTAATGCAGCAACATTTATTTATTTATTTATTTATTTATTTATTTATTTTTATTGCAGCAACATTTATTTATTTATTTATTTACTTATTAATTTTTAATGCAGCAACATTTATTTATTTATTTATTTATTTTTAATGCAGCAACATTTATTTATTTATTTCAGTGAATATGCTTAACAGAAAAAAAATGTCTATCCAGTATGTATTTGATTCCTAATAGATTTTTATTTTTTATTTCTTTATGATGATGTAGGATATTTGAAGTAAGGAAACAAAAATAGCTGCAAGAATACAGCATTTTGAACAGAATTTAAAGTATTGTTAAAATAGTAATAAATTAACATTTTTACTTTTAGTTTTAAGAAATATTTAGAGCCTTGATGAATTTCTCTATTGACATATTTACAATTAACATCTTTACACCAGTGTAATTAACAATGGCAACTGAAGTAAAATGGTTGTTAGTTGAAATGAAATAAAATTATTAAAAAATTACATAAAATTTAAGTATTAATATTTAGAATTAACAAAAAAAAGGATTAATTGGCACTAAAATGCAATGAAAATAAAAACTTAATACAATTAAAATAACACCACATTCGTAATTAGTATAAAATATAAGAAATTATAATTATGAGAAATAGTATAAACACCAAGCACATTTTTTTTAAACGACAACAAAAATACATCTCACACAACAAATAACAACGTAAGTCAATATCCAATGACTATTTTAATAACCATCAATTAACATTATGCATGTTTTTAAAATTAGCATTGAAGCAACACACAAAGCAGGCATGACTAAATACGCCCATAACCAACAACACTGAGAAAACTAAAAGACAAACTACAATTTCTGGAGAAAATATGAATTATCTTCACAGACTCAACATATGCAGCATCCATATAAAACACTTATGCCAATATGATCAACCAAAACAAGTAATTCATAATACATTGGTTGGAATAACTAAATTCTATAGTAAATATAATAGTGACTCTTACTTTAGCAAACACCAGTTTAACCATATAATATACATATATACATACAATGTAATGCATAAGTGTGCTCACTTCTGAGATTTTAAAGTACCAAACGTCTTCATCATCGCTAAACAACAGCAGAAAACATCCAATTGTTTTCAATGATGTCTAATTTCAGTCAGATCCCAGCTTATACAGTTTAAGCTATAAAGTAACACAGTTTTCCAAGCATGCAAAACATGTATAGTTCACATTTGCAAACAGTATTAGACAAGGAAATTGGAAATCCCTTTCCTTTTTCTAATGATAAGCATTGCTATTTCTCCAAATTGGTAGAATACAGCTGAACGGGATAAAAACATAACCCCATATCATCTCATCCTCTGCATGAATTGAAAATGTACTGTTTATTTTGCTGCTAGCACACATTGTTAGTCTTAAAGTGCACAATAAATCTGTGTAAATAATTCCACTGACAAAAAAACTGGTTATTTTTTGTAATCTTCAATTAAAATCTGGATTGACAATTCTCTATTGATGTCAGTTTGACAGATTGGGTGATTTGAGCTTAGCCACGGCCCCTCTAACTGTTAATTTGCGGTCACATTAAGGTTTGATAATGCAAAATTCTGTCATGTGGCACTGCGAAAAGCGGCTGGATTAAACACGATGTTTAGACATTTAAAAAAGCGAGCGATTGCTCCATGTTTTAAATTTCTGTCCAGAGAGGTCATGTTTTGATCCTCGATTGGTCTCACGCAGTCAAGTGACGCGATTTCGCAGGTCAGAGTTCACCAAGCTTGAACTTCGCACGGCAGCGACCTGCGAAACTTGACGCTTGACCTTTTGTCACCGGTCTGACGCATTCACGTGCGTATGAATGGAAGTCTATGGGGAGAATTGTCCAGTGTGACAGCAGCTTCCGGTGTGAGGCAGAGCACAAAAATAAATCCCCACCCCCTACTAAATATTCTATTTCAGTGGGAAAATGTCAAAATATTGAAATAAAAACGACTGCTAGTTCATTAAGACTGTATCACAAGTATTCTAAATGTTAAATATGAAAACTAGGCATTATGCAACCCTGACTCATTCAGTAAACGTATCCCTATATACATTTCTGGAGAACACCAAATATGTCCTAAAACAGGGATCACCAATCGCAGTCTTGGAGGGCCGGTGTCCCTGCAAGGTTTGGCTCCAACTTGCCTCAACACACCTGCATGGGCGTTTCAAGTAGTATGAGCTTGATTAGCAGGTTCAGGCATGTTTGATTAGGGTTGGAGCTAAAATCTGCAGGACACCGGCCCTCCAGGAACAAGTTTGATGACCACTGTCCTAGAAGGTACTTTTTTTTTTTGCAGTTTTTGTTTTCACGAATTCGCCAGAGGCTGCTGTGTACGCTTTTTTAGATCTCAAATTTCTCTCGCAAGTGCCATTAGTGCCTGCTCTTCTTGTTTATCCACCAGAAGCTGCTGTCGACTGACTGACTGACAGATCCTCCTATACATACATTATGAGTAATTGCGGGTCAGTTGCGGGTGGATGTAGCGGGACATGGCAGTGGACCAGCGAAAAAGCAGAGAGTGGGCTTTGCAGAATGGGAAGATGAGATACCCAAAATAATGGTTGAAGTGCAAGAGTAGCGTACTGTTCAAAGTTTCAGTTAGAGGAGTCTCCAGAGGAAAATCTGCTTTCGTTCTGGGAGAAAAAAGATCGCTTATTTTCACGACTGCAGCGCCTTGCAAGGAGAATCTTGTTCATTCCTACGAACGGACATTTAGTACAGCGAGCCGTGTTTTGGAGGCGAGACAGAATCACCCGAATCCAGGCAGAAGAAAATGTTGTCTAAAGACAAACTTTCATTTTTATAAATAAATGTTAATTTAAAAATGTTTACGATTATTGTATTGTTTTACTTTTAGAGATGCGCAGATTAGCTCCCTGAATCTGCTGCTAATATCCACGGTGACCTATCATCATGCCTTAAACAAAGAATTAAATTATTAAAGTGAAAATCGGGTGCAGATATATATATCAGATAAAACCTGCAGGTGGCAGGTGGATCATTAGTATGAAGCCGCAAATTCGAGTGTGATTTCAGCTGATTTGTGCATCGCTATTAGACAGTAAGTAAACA